CTCTGTTCCAGTGACGCGCGCAAGTTAGGGTTTCGTTCTTACGTACGCGGAGTTCGCTCACCATACCCCGGGGCGCTCAGCACGGGGGAGGTGAGTCACGCAGCTGTCGAGTTTCGTGGTGAACTCGAGCAAAAGTGACACGAACTTGTCCTTGGTATGAGGCGAGGAGGGGTGGTGTATGTATGGCAGTGGAGTTTTTGCTTCTCTCGACCATCTCGAACCATCTGAACCGAAGATCGCTGAACGGACAGCGAGCTTCCTATGGAACCTTTGCTTTCCCATTCATCAGTGTTGCAGTGCATAGGGAAGCTCTTTTCTGCTGTCGAGTGGGTGTCACAGAGTATCTTCGAAGCCTGGGAGCCGAAGCAGGACAGCACAAAGTAAGTACAAGAACATATATTGCTTCTAGCGAACTAAGCGACGACTGGAGGCAGGGCCACATGGAGCAAAGGAAAACAAAGGTTCTTCCCCCTGTAGGCATGTAACTTGATGTAAGCCCTCTATACACGTGTGGATAATCTTGGAGGTCTTTCAGAAGTCGTCCGGCGGTGCACAAACCGTTTGGGATTCGAGTTCCCCTTTGGCGGGCACCACTGGTAGTGACGAAAGAACAGCCAGCAAACGAACAGCAAGTGATCGAACAGCGAGTGAGCGAAGTTACTAATCGGTAAGCGCCATCAGGATCTAACGTGGTAAGATCTTGCTTGCTTGGTTGCCAGCCTGTCTCGGACGCAAGCAGTCTGGGGCCAATCACACAGAGCTTCATGCTAACTCTCATCCCTTTTTCACTTTCACTGACCTGCATAGTCGTTTGGCCATTGGATGTAGAAGATCCCAGCTGTCGGAATAGGGCTCATTTGGGCTGGACGTTGTCTATCTGGAAAGCATTTGAACGGACCACCTAGATATTAAAGCCTCCTCTTTAGCCCGCCTACAGCCCTCCTGGACAAGATCTTGAACGACGACATCTTGACTCGAACGTGAGAGTCAGAGAGAGTGAGCTAGTGGTCGGCTCGTAAGGAGAGTCTGGGAAAGGAAGTGCTGGTGGTGGTAAGAGCTTAAGGAAAGTAAGAAGTTAGTGAGGGACAAGAAGGAATGTGAAAGTCAGTGATAACGGGAAGCTCTGGCAGATTAAGGTTACTGTGAAAAAACAGCGGGGCGCTTCCTATGGAGTTAAACGTGTCGTGCTTGAACTGCGGGTATGAGCTGAGATGGATTTGTGTGATAGGTCAGTGCCATCGGCCTCAAAATGGTGTTGGTGAGGTATTGAGAGCAACGGACGGACGACGATAATGATGCTGATAATAAATCGTTGGCATCGTTGGAATCACCTCAAAATGGCAATCGTGATGATGATGATGATGATGATGAGAATGGGGATAATGGTGATAATGATGATATGAATCGTTGGAACCTGAAGATTGGGAATGGCGATAGTGATGATGATAATGAATCGTTGGCATCATTGGGATCACCTCAAAATAGCGAGTGTGATGATGATGATGATGATGATGATGATTATGAGGATGAGGATGAGGATGGGGAGAATGGTGATATGAATCGTTGGAATCAGAAGACTGGGGATAAAGAAAGGGAAAACCATAACGCAGATCTGGGCGGTAGAGTCGAGTGGGATAAGAAGAGAAGCGAAGACAGGGGAGGGGGTTTCAATGATTCAGGCTACATGTCATTGAAAGGTAGTGAACAGGAGGGCGAAGACAACAGTGTGGAAAAAGCTCGTACCCGGCAGGGGAGGAGATGGGATTCGAGAATTCCTTGGTGCTGAGAGAGAACGTGTGTGTGTGTGTGTGTGTGTGTGTGTGTGTGTGTGTGTGTGTGTGTGTGTGTGTGTGTGTGTGTG